TTCAGATGACTGACATAAGTGATCACAGATTGCCTTATGCTAACACATAATTAAATGTAAAATTCCTTCTCTGAAATGTATGTCACTGTCATATACTACATATATGCATTTTTGTAGTCACATTTGACATCACAAGTGAATGTTAAGAGCTATGTATTGTTCCTATATAAAAGATACATTAAGTTGATCTCTACAAGGCTGGAGTACATGAATTCATGCAAAAATTCAAGTTCATCACCTAGTGCTGCACATACCTACGCACATACCAAAACTGTCCCAAGGTTTTTAGGAACCTAGCTAACCTGAAACCCATTGGCCACCAATGCTGGATGGTGAAGTGTTAAAGAGATTTTAAAATCAGGACCATTCTACTTATTTCTCTTTTAGAATTAGCTGAAAAGGTGGATAGTGTCTACTACTCCTACTACTGAGCTTTATATATAGTAGGTGCATAATAAATGCCGTTTTAAATAAAGTGATTCTGCATACGGGAAGTTAGAAAGGAATTTCACTTCTTACCCTTACCAAAAGTGTATATTTTTAAGCCAAATTCTATATGAAATCATCTGTTTCATCAAAAGTAACAACCAGATATAAAGGTACTTGAATAGCTTCAACAGTTCTTTAGAAAAATTAATTTATTTTCTTAATCAGAAACAACTGCCTTACTATTGTGACAATAAATCAGGTATGTAAGTTCTAGTCTAGAACCAAAAATCAGGTAGTGTACTAGCTGTTCCAAAAAGGCATTTCAAGTTCAAAATTCTATGTCAAACAACCTTATAATAGAGTACCTGCCAGTCTTTTAAAAGTTTAAGACCTTATATTTCAAGAATAAAAAGGTCATTCTTAGAGGCAGGTAGTAAATACTCTTAAGTGGATTAGGGACTGAAATATAGAGAAAGAGGACCTTTTGGCTTGTAGATAAAGGAAAGCTCGACAAAGAAAGTTCTGGTCTCAAACAAAACTAAATAAATAAAGAAAAGCAAAAATAGGACAAAGAACACTGAAGATTAATACTCATGAGGTCCTAGAATCAGACAGATACACTCTTCATCTGAGAAAGAAAAAAAAAATAGAAAGGATGAGATGAAGGGGTGAGAGACAGGAAAAAGTAAGGATGGGGAAAAGAAAGAGTCATCTCAAATTAAATGAGTTCCATCAGTGTAATGAGGGAGGAAAAGAATGAAAGATAATTAAGGTCAAAAAGTGGAATAAATCCATTTTATCTGCATCTTGGAGAAGTTACCCAGTCCAAACATGAACTAGCTGTACTCCTAATTTCCCCAATATGGAATGAATCACATTTGGATTGGCTCCAATTTCACTGCTGAATTGGTAGCATTTTAAAATTACAAAATTTCAAAAATAAAATAGGGGTTGCCTCAGGGAAATACATTTTTTAAAAATGTATATAACTACCCTTTTGAGGGTCTCAAAGTTTTTCATTTTGCTCTCATATTGTCTAAATGAAGTAATTCTAAAACAAAAACCCTGTAACTTCATAAGGGAGACAATTCCTAAGTCTTCTGGGATACTACATTCCAAAAGACACTTCTAAATCAGCTGGTTTTCTCTCCTTGCATATAACTCAGAAAGCTGGGTCAAAAACCTTAACAAATCTAATAACTAAAATAGTAGAATAAAAAACTTAACAGCTATAACAAAGGCTAATCTAGAACCATCTCCTTTTATACAGGAGGAAAACAGGCCACATTCAGTGACTAAGATTGCAAAGCTAGTTAACAGCAGAACACAAGATCCAAAGAATTTAAAGCTCAACCAGACCTTGAAGATCATCTCTACAGATAGCGAGATGGTACAGTGGATAGAGAGTGCTAGGCCTGGAATGCATATAAAAGTAGATTTTTATGCACATCAGCATTGAGAAAAAGAAGAATCACAGAATCTCGGAGTTATAAGAGACTTATAACACCATCTAGTCTAACCCATACCTGAACAAGGATCCCCTCTACAACAATTCTAATAAATAGTAATCCAGCCTTTGTGACATCCTGTAAGGGAAAATCCAATGTATCACTGTGAAGGCAGAGATACATCTTGATTATGTCATCCGCCATGCTGGCTCTCTATCCTAGTTTCACGTCAGCTAACAAATCTAACATGCATCCATCTATACCCTTATATAAATCCGTGCTAAAAACACAAAACCACTTAGGGCCAAGTAAAAATCCATGGGCCACTCTACTACTCAACATTAACCCCAGAATCCAGTCAATCAACTTGTCACAAATATAACCAACTACACCATCATCTATCTAGCCCACATTTCTCCATCTTATTCATAAGAGCCTATGTGCATTCATTCATCAAATAGTTTGCTAAAATATGCAATCCGTATCTGCAGCGTTTCCCTGAACAGTCAATTTAGGAATCCTGTTAAAAAATGAAAAGAGGTTATTAGGTTAGCATAATTGCTAAGATGTCAGTAAGGGCCAACATGGCTACATCGAGATCACTGCCTCTTTTTAAGTTACTTGTTAAGTCATCATTTTATTCATGCATTATAGAATTGAGCCAGGAATCTATAACAACCTTCTAAATTTGCAGAATCTATTCCCCTTTTGGGGAGAGAAGAGGAATTGAGACATTTGACTTTTTCTAGTCCTATGACACCTCTCTCTTTATCCATACTCTTTTCAGGATCACTGACAGTGGCTCAGCATTCACTTTAGCTTTTTTCAGTAACCTGGGATGTAGTTCTTTCTGACCTGATGGCTTCAACTCATTGAAGACAGTTCATTGCTCTTTTACCATTTTCTCTTTTATCTCGAGTTTCATGTTCTTATTAATTACTGTTATTTCTTCCTCACTGAAAAAATCATTCTACTTGCCAGACAGAAAAGAAGTAACCAAAGAACTGAATAGTTTTGCTTTTTGCTATATGTTTTCATCATCTCATTCATACCTAACCATTCTTTGATCTTGCTTTTATCCCTAATATAGATTTTTTTTTAACGTACATTTTGTGGTCCTTGATATTCATGGGCAGTCTCAATATATTCTGAACACTAGTGTACTTGACACTATTCTTGAAAGGTTATCCAACTTTTCTTTTCCTTTTTCTCTTTCCAGTATGTGCCTTTGTTTCCACCCTCTATTACAGTATGTCCTTTGAAATCAAACTTAGGCAATGAGTTCCCTGTGGATCTACATTTATCTCTTTAGACAGTTCTTTTTCTCTTTCTACAGTGTTGTTTCAATTTGTCATTTTCAAAATTTCATTCTTAAGAAATTCCCACTCTTATTGGTTGGACTTCCCCAGTACAAAGCCAAATTTCAGAGTTCTTTGAACTCTGAAAATACAGGGTACATGTATGGAACATCATGCCCAGTTTTTTTCTCCTTCTTTATAACGAAATAGAAGGTATGATTATATACCCACTATGAAAGAATTTTTGAACTCATCTCATCTAGTTCAACCCCTTTATTCAACACATGAGAAACAGGCCCAGTGGGGTGAAATGATCTACTTAGGATGATGGAACCACAACAAGTCAGCAGCAAAGCCAAGATTAGCCTAAGACACTTGCCTTCTAGTCCAGGGTTGTATCCACTATACTGGACTGCAGCTCTATTGAGCAATTACTCTAGTCACTGCAACATACAGAAACCCTGAATATGTACAAATATGTAAATTCACTAATAATGCAAATTTTATTCCAATACAGAGACATTTACAAACAAAACAATGATTAATAATTTTAACAGGTAAATTATTTGTTGATCCATCATGCAAAAAGTTACTAATGACCTTCTTTGAAATGCCAATGTCAAATCTAACAGCCTTCTTTTAATCCTCACCCTACTTGAACTTTTTGTAGAATATCAAACTACCCCCTTCTTTTGGAAGCATTCCTTTTCTTTTCCTTTTATGATACTATCTTCTCTCCTACCTATCTGCAAGGTCCTTCTCTCTTCCTTGATAGCTCGACTTTAGCCTCCCACTATTAAGAAGGGGTATACAATGCTTGGCCCTTTGCTTTTGTCACTTTATGTTATGTCTCTTGTAAATTTTATCTTTCATGCCTTCAAGTTTCTCTTCTATGTAGATGATTCTAAAATCTTCCTATCTTCAGCCCTGACCTCCTTATTGAGCTTCAGTTCAGTAACTAATGGTCACTTGTTATTCAAAAATCTTTTACCTCTACATTCCAACTAGGATTCCCAAGCTCAGCATGTCTGTATCAGTCTACCTATCCATCCATCCATCTATCTGTGAAAGTCCTCAGACTGAATTCTGGTCCTAGATAAATTACTTAATATCTCTCTGTCTCAGTTTCCTCATCTCTAAAATGGGGGTGATAATATTTATACTATATACCTTTCAAGGTTGCTGTGGGCAAAGCACTTTCTAAACCAAGAGATCCTCCCTAATGTCTCTATGATAAAAATCTAAACCCTTCCATTTTGCATTTAAAGCTCTTCACAATCTGGCCCCAGCCTATTCTTCCAGGCTGATTAAACATTTCTCTCTCATACACTCTAAATGCCTAACAAGAAAGGAATGGTTAAATAAACCGTGCTAAGTAATGTAATGGAATACTTTCTTGCAATAAAGGCCAATACATAGGTAGTATACAAATAAATTTGAAAAAGGCAACCTTAAAAAATGCAAAGATAAATTTTTTTTTAAAAATTTAAAAGCCAAACCTGAAGAATGAAGTACAAACTAACAACGTTCACTCTCAGAGGAAAAGTAGATAAAAATGGAAAAATAAAAAATCCTGAAGACTTAAGAGAATAACTAGAAAATTATTATGCATTGAAATTAATTTAAATGCAAACAACTATTAAGCAAGTTTAGTTGATTGTTAACATTAATAAAAAATTAATCAAGATATTAAGGTAACACCGTAGACAGGTAGGTTATTAGACAAATTATCCCAAATGTAAAAACAGCACAACCATAAAAGGCAAGTTTTCAGGTAGACTTCCAGACATGTCCACATGCCCTCCTTGATCCTATTAGCCCTCACCATTCAAAGTTGGGTCTGTTCCCAGCACGTTCCACTCTTCTGGCAGTTTGAGGTGTCGGAATGCCAATGCCACCTTCTCATCTAGACTATTCACATCTCCAGAGGGTGGTCCTGATCGATCCAGAAACCTGGTGAAGTTCAGAGCCTGTTGGTTGCCAGCACTGGTTGCCAGAAACTGGGCTGCATCATATACTTCATCCTGAATGAAGCGAAAATCTTCCTCAGCCACCACAAAAACAGGGAGTCCCTCTTTGGAAGCACAGAGCAGGACCTTCACTGTCTCACAGCAGTCATGACCTGCCAAAAACACACCAGACCCCAAAAAAACGCATTAGAAGGCTTATGGTCAAGAGGACTCCTAACATATGACACATAGGTTATGCTATCACATTCATTTTCTCTCATAAAAGCTAAATGAGAAAATAGAGCATGGCACAACACGAAACACAGAAAGGCTATGGACAAATAATTTATCAGTCTTGTATAAGTTTTCAAGACCACTTTACCTACTATCACCTAATTTCAACAGGAAAAATAAGAATAATTAAAATCATAACAATGAGAATGAAATAACAGTAATGATAATAACAACACTAATCCATAAACATTTAAGAACAATATTTTTAAGAGATGTCACCAAAGGAAATACTCACAATTTCCAAGCTGCAAAAAATGAAAATCTTTCGAAAGGGAGCTATCAATGGGAAAATATCAAAATCACATAGAAAAAGAATGAGGTACATCCCTATCAACCTATCTGCTACCATGCTTGTTATGAGTATGTTTTCAATGAGCCTATAATATGAGCTTGCATTGTAATGTTTATTCCACTACATAAAGCAGTTAATTTATCCATCTATGTAATAGTTCAAATTACATTGAATAATTAAAATAACACAACAGTATCTTGTCCTAGGACCAATTCTATCTCAGCTGTATCAAAAAAGAAATGTGATTAGAGGTACATAATAATAATAGCACCTAGCATTTATAACCAATTTTAAGGTTTGCAAAGTACTTTAAATGCATTATCACATTTGACCCTCACAGCAACTCTGGGAGGTAGATGTCATTATAATCATATATCATTTTACAGATATTGATGCTGAGATAGCTTAAATGACTCACCCATGGTTACACAGCTACTCAGTATCTAACACAGGATTTGAGGCCTTGGAGTTTTCTTGATTCTAAGTCCAATACTCTATCTACCAGACAATACTGCCTCTCATTAGATAAGGTTGTAGAAAGCGATAAAAAAGTACACAGTAACATTCAAACATGTTACTATTACTGTTGTCATCATCATCATTAATGGCACTGAGTAAATTATTATTATTATCATCATCGGCCTCAAGTAAGGGCACCAAAATGAAAGGCCTTGTTTATAAATAATCTGTTTCAAATAGAATTTCTCTTTATTCTTACCTACTTAAATATATGGACCCTAGGAAATAATTAATTTTATAGAACAAATGATGGGATCATATGACAAAGTATAGTTCAAAACTCTGTGATGTCAACATTCAGGATAATCAGTTAAGCTGACAGAAAAGTCACCAGCATCTTCCATATCAGGTCTTAATTGCAATAGATGTCTTATGCAATGTGAATGTGCTTCTAGACTTTCAACCTCAGAATCAAGGTACAGTGCTCCCAGTTTCAGGAGAGAATTCTAAAATCTCTCTGTCAAGAGACAATTATAAAATTTCCAATAACTGATCTCAATTTACCACAAGCTCTTTCACTGCCACCATTAGTTATTCCTTCATAAAATAACTTCTTTCTAAAAATGATGAGACTATAAAAAGGTCAGAAAAATCAAGACTAAGACCCTTCACGCTAAATCTACTCTTAGCTCTAAAGTCTCTCATGCATTTGATAAGGACTATCCATCCCGCAAAGAGGGAGACCTATCCTTTTGTGTGGGTCATAAGACAGATGACCCATGTTATAGAAAGGCTGGTCCAGACCAGGAGATTCTAATGATACAAAATAAATCTTACATTATAATGAAATATAAACAAATAAATTAAAATACTATGTGTTTCAGTGCAAACACAAGTGCAAATGAAGGAAAGAGTTGTTTTTTTTTCCCACCTGAGTTTTTTGCAGTGGTTTCCATGACCCTTTGATTCTAATGGCAGAGGAACACATCTAGAATATTGTTGAGTTTATTGAGCAATAATTATGCATTGTGAGAGCTATAAAAATAGCAGAGAATTGCTGCTAAGCTATGCTTACTAGAAAACGAACCCCTTGCTGAGAGCGATAAGTAAATCTATAAAGTAATGGAATTAATTTCCAGAAGCAAAACATGAAAACCAATTATCATTACTTTATAGTCAGTCCTCTGACAAGAGTAAAAAGTAACTTGATTTTGCACTTTCACACTTCTCAATTTAACAGTTTAAAACTATTCATCATCTGAAGAAAGTATGGAGTACAGTCACACCTTGAGTACATAATTCAGGTTTAAAGCGATGCAGAAGGAGTGAACTCAAAGGACAGCAAGATCCATTATAAATAATAATAATATAAGCAATTTGAGAAGAATCACTTCAGGAGCGGTGCCTTAGTTATTTTCTATAAGCAATGGCAACAAATGACCTCAGTTAAAAATAATTTATCATGGACTTCATAATATGCAGAGGAAGTAGAGCTTCTATTAATTCTTCTCTCCTTACTTTCCATCCCAAGTTCGAACTTATGGCAGAATGTTAGCAATACTGACAAATGTAATGACAGAATGATAACCTATTGAGTTTAAGAGTGCATGAAGGGCAATACAATGATGAAGAAGCATCTGTTTCCAGCATCCTCACCCCCACCAAAATAAAAAAAAAAATCCATCTCATCCAATCACTTGCCAGAAAGAGAAAGGTGGGTGTAACTGTGAGGGAAGACAAGGAGTGGGGCCTGTACACCCTGGGGCAAAGAGACGAGGAACACAGACAGCAGTGGTCAATCCTCTTCTGGCATAGTTTACCAAGAAAACTGCTTGGCCTCAAGGATATCTGGTCAGGAGAAAACACATACACTGTAGCAGTAAAAGGGGAAAAGATCAAACAGTGAAGAAACCCCAAACAAACTACCTAAAGTAAAAGGCAAGAATTACATGAACACAAAAAAGCTAATAGAAAATTGACTGAGTATAAACTCAGTTCTCAAAAAAAATAAACCAACTAAGAGACTGATGAAGACATAAGGAAAAATCGGCAATATTTTTTTTAAAAGGCAACAACATGACAATTCCCCAGAGATTATCAAACAAAACCAAGAAACTTCAGAATATTTTAAAAGAAAAATGAAGATACTAAGTTTGAAATCTGGTCAGATATCAGATCTCTCAAAGAAATTTTTTAAAAATTCAATTCAATTCAATTCAATGAAGACTATCATGTGCTAGGCACTATGCTAAGTGCTGGGGATACAGAAAGAGGCAAAAGACAGTCCCTGCCCTCAAGGAATTTATAATCTATTGTGGGAGACAATGCAAACAAATCTACACAAAGCAATATATAAAAGAAATAGAAAATCATTAAAAGCGGGAACCAATGGAATTAAGAGGGCCTTCTTATAGAAGGTAGAATTTTAGTTGGAACTTAAAGGAAACCAGAGGTCATCAATCAGAGTGTAAGAGGGATAGCATTCCATGCATGGGAAATAGAGAAAATGCCTGGAGCTGACAGCTGAAGTGTCTTGTTTGTGGAATAACCAGAAAGCCATTGTCATTGGATCCAAGAATACATATCCAGGAGTAAAGTACAAGAAGAGTGGAAAGGTAGGAGGGGGTTAGGTTATGAAGGGCTTTGAATGCCAGAGAGTTTTGTATTTGCTCCTGGAAGCAATCGGAAGCCAATGGAGTTTAATGAGTGAGTGTGTGTGTGTATGGGGAGGGGGTTGCATGCGCATGTGCATGTATAGGATCAGACTTATGTTTTAGGAAAATCTCTTTTAGTGATTGAATAGAAAATGGACTTGAGTGGGAAGAGACCTGAGGCTGGCAGACCCACCAGGATCTACAGCAGTCAGGCATGAGGAGATAAGGGCCTGCACCAGAGTAGTAGCAGTGTCACAGGAGAGGAGATATACTCAAGAGATGTTGCAAGGGTGATATTAGCAGGCCTTGGCAACAGTTTGGATCAGAGAGGTGAGAAATAGTGAGAATATAGGATGACTCCCAGGTGGTGAACCTGAGGGACTAGGAGGATGGTGTTGTCCTCTACAGTAACAGGGAAATAAGGAGTTGGGGAAGGTTTGGAGGAAAAGATAACGAGTTCTATTTTGGACATATTGAGCTTAAGATGTCTGTTGGACATTCAGTTTGAGATATCCGAAAGGCAGTTGGAAATGCAAGACTAGAGGTCAGCAGAGACTGGGGCAGGAGAGCACCAGTATATATTTGGTAATTAAATTCATGGGAGCTAATGAGATCACCGAGTAAAGTAGTATAAAGGGAGAAGGGAAGAAAACCCAGGACAGAACCCTGAGAAACACTTAAGGTTAGAGAGCATGATCTGGGGAAGGATTCAGTAAAGAAGACTGAGAATGAATGATCAGACAGGTAGGAGGAAAACCCGGAGATGAATTAAAAATAATTAAAAGACGAATTAAAAAGTCTAAGTGCCACATTTCCAGAAATAATACAAATTGCCCAAAAATTCTTAAAACAAGCAGAATACTGATCAATGGAATCTCAATTTTACTTTTTAAAAAAAGCAAACGGCATTTTTCACAATGAAAAATCACTTACTAAACAGATCATATCTTCTGACCCAGTGATATGACTACCAGCACATATATAGCCCAAAGAGTAAAAAGCACAGATAAAGGTTCTATATATATGCCAAAATATTTACTGCATTTTGAGAGCTTGGAAAAAAAAATGATAACAAAGAGGTATTGATACCTACCTGACTTGGGAAAATCTGAACAAACTATAGCAAATGAATATGAATGAGTATTAATACTCCATAGGAAACATAAATATGTAGAGTTCAGACTTGCAGGAAGACTTGTACAAACTGATGAAGAAGGAAATAAGAAGAATCAAAAGAACACTACATATATAGAGGGTAGCTATGTGGTACAGTGGATACAGTGCTGGGCCTGGAGTCAGGAAGACAAGTTCAAATTCAGCCTCAGATACTAGCTGTGTAACCCTGGGCAAGTCACTTAATCCTGTTTGCCTCAGTTTCCTCATCTATAAAATGAGCTGGAGAAGGAAATGGCAAACCACTCCAGTATATTTGCCAAGCAAAACTCCAAATTGGGTCACGAACAGTTGGACATGA